TTAATGTTAACGTAACACACGGTTCGAACAGGTTTACCTATTAACCCATAAAAATGATTTTGTTATTTCGGAGATTTTACATCATCTTAAAATACAAATTGCCTGGTGATGAAGTAGTAAGATGCTCGCATTGCAAACCGGCAGTTGCTGGTTCGAGTCTTAGGCGGAACCTCCGTTTTTCTATTACAGCATATCATATAAGTATCTTACATTCACAAATACATTTTATAAAATATGTTATTAATTTTAATGTAATTTTGTTGGGAATTCATCATAAATTTAGTTATTATATATACGGGCTGGTAGTTACCTAACCAGTTTCCCAGTGATAACATGTTGTCTGCAGGTAACTTTCAGTTATTCCACAGGAAACGAACTGTGTCATATATAATTAATGTTTTTTTTATTGAATTGCCACATGCGCCTCTTCCAGAATTCGAACTTACCACCCCCTCGATCCTTAGACCTACTGTCGAACATTCTTAGCTAAGCAATGATGGAAGTTTATGATAACTAGTTAGCTTTTTCTAAGTAAAGCGGGAGAACCTAATATAAAAAAGTGTAAATCAAATTAATTACGAAGTCGAACCCGAACCCAAACCATGGGTGCTTAAGTATCAAATCGATATAACAACCACCACAGTAAACACAAAATGATTATACTACGGCTGTGCACCTCTATCCAGATAACTCCATTGTATGTTACTGTGCACAGAAAGGTTGGAATGTGAAATTCAGACATGACTCATGCACAAAATAACACCGAATTGGTCGAAAAAAGCATAAATGTGTATACTGTAGTAAAACAATTGACAAACATTATTTGCAGGCGCGGATCCAACAGGGGGGGGGGGTCGATTGAGGGAAGCTTCAGGGCTTCAGACGCCCTAGAAAAAAAAACAGTCATATATCATCGAAAACTAAATACTTTTTAAATGTAACCTTGATCCCTGCCTGTCATCAAACTCTGTAAACATAATGTGTTAGAATATATAATCGGGGTCATGCATACGCTTTCAATACATTACTGTTGGTAATTGTTAAGACAGAGTCTAGCGCCCGCATGATATTTTGTAAATAAGTCTCCGAAAAAAGTCCCTAATAAGATCTACTGACTTGTAGTTTGTTTACTATTTTGACTTGTTTGATGAATGATAAACGCATGTTGCTACAAAACATGTACATACTATTTTTTTTTTATCACTGGCTACCGTAATCACATTTACTTCCCTCGCTCGCATGAACATTTTTCAAGCTGAATTGTATAAGATCGCAATAAATGATATAGTTATCACAATAATGATATTGTAAGCGCAATAAATGATATAGTTATCGCAATAATGATATTGTAGGCGCAATAAATGATATAGTTATCGCAATATTGATATTTCAAGCGCAATAAATGATACAGTTATCTGAAATAAATGATACAGTTAACGAAAAAGATGATAAAATTATCGCAATTAAAAGCTATCGCAATTCATGATATAGTTATCGCAATTCATGTTAAAGTTATCGCAATATATGATAAAATTATTACAGTAAATGATAAAGTTTTTACAAGAATTGATATAATTATCGCAATTAATTATAAATTTTGGCAATAAAAGATAAAGTTATCGCAATAAAAAAGTATCGTAATAAATGAAAAAGTTATGGCAATAAATGACATAGTTAGCGCAATAAATGATTTTATTCTTCACGGTTTTTGACAATTTGCAATTACGAAATCCTCAATCTGAAAACATTTCATGCTTCACTGATACAATTCGTAAAGTAGCATATGACAAAGTTATTGCAATTAATAGCTATCGCAATAAATGATATAGTTATTGAAATAAATGATAAAGTTATCATAATAAATGATAAATTGACGCAAATAATTACTATCGCCATAAATGATATACCTGTCGCAATAAATAATATAGTTAGCACAATAAACGATGCAGTTTTCGAAATAAATGACGCAATTATCGAAATTAATAGCTATCGCAATAAATGATTGAGTAATCGCAATCAATGATAAAGTAAGCGCAATTAAGATATAGTTATCGCCATACATGATATAGAACAGAACAGAACAGATCTTTTATTTCTGATTTGTACATAGTACATCATCATATACATAACATAATAATATTTGAGTAACATGTAATTTTCTTATTATAGCTAGTTTTTGCAAAAAAAATAGTTATCGAAATTATTGTTTAAGTTATCACAATAAATGATAAAGTTATCACAATCAATGTTAAAGTTATCGCAATGAAATAAATAGTTATCAAAATTAATGTTACACTTATCGCAGTGAATGATATTCATTCATTCATTCATTCATTCATTCATTCATTCATTTATTTATTTACTTATTTATTTATTTATTGATTTATATTTGTATCCTCTCAAATAAATATATAGTTGCGTGTCTGTCTGTTTTCCAACATAACATAAAATATAAATACAATGATAAAATGTTTTGACAAAAATAATCTTTGTAATTAAGTCTAGTTTCGTTTTAATTTAGCTTTGTTTGTTTGCATATTTGTCGGTTTCATGTTTTTTACTTTGAAAATCTTTAAATGTATTCATTTATCATACAGAAATGGATTCTATTAATATTGATCATATGAATTATTAAAGGGAAGTAAATGCTAAAATATCAAAATATGAAATATACTAAAATATGTAAAGTTACATGAGTTATTCCTTTTTTTGTCACAATCACTATTTTTTATTACAACTACTCGTTTTATTTTTTTGTGGATTCTATTGATAGGCATTACCGAATTTCTCAAACATAAAAGTAAATGTATTGTTGCTGAATTTGATACTGTTAGGTAAAGATAGACAAATTTTTGTGTATAACATACATGTATTTATATGTTTATTCAGTATTTTCTTATCTCATTAAAAATCCTCACATTTCATAAACCATTATATTGCAATCAAATATGTTCATGTCCTGTGTCATTTATGTATTATATGTTGTAATTGTATATGTGATATGTTGATTAGCTTTTTATACTTAAACCAAGAAATAAAATTTCTGTTCTGTTCAACATGATAGTGCAATTAATGACAAAGTTATCGCAATAAATGAAAAAAAAATATCGCAATTAATATTTATTGCAATAAATGATATAGTTATCTCAATCAATGATATAGTTAGCGCAACAAATTATATAGTTATCGCATAATTTAATGTAGTTATCGCAATAAATGATATAGTTATCTCAATCAATGATATAGTTAGCGCAACAAATAATATAGTTATCGCATTATTTAATGTAGTTATCGCAATTAATAAAAAAAATATCGCAATTAATGTTTAAGTTATCGCAATTAATGAAATAGTTATCGCAATTAATGTTTAAATTATCGCAATATCATGAAAAAGTTATAGCAATTAATGTTTAAGTTATCGCAATTAATGAAATAGTTATCGCAATTAATATTTAAGTTATCGCAATTAATCCAATAGTTATCGTAATTGATTTTAAGTGTATAAGTTATCGAAATAGTTTAGTCAAGCACGTTATGAGCCAATCTCTGTTTCTTTACTGTGGTATTTAAGGCAGCTTTGTCTGCTTACATAATATCATACTTAATTATTAATTTCGTTGGAATTTTTTACAAGCGTTTGTTTCGAAAATTACTGAGGTACGTATACGAAAATAACGCATCGGGTTATGCGAAAAAGAATTTATGCTTACGAAAATAACATTTTATGTTGATGGAAATAATCTGTCATTGATTCAAATGATTGTTCAAAAGGAATACAGTCTATTGTTTTTCAATTTCATTTTTTTAATTTTCATATATAATTCACGAGTTTATAAGTACTAACTTTATTTTATTGTTCTCATTCACCTATAAATTATTGTACGTAAGTTTTTTTTATGTTTTGTTTAATCATTATTAATGTAACAATGCTTTTTACACAAACGATAATTGTCTTATAGTAGAAAATTTTATTCACAATTTTTTTTTTAATAAAATTTTATTTTCGTAATTGCTGTCTTAGATTATGTTCATTTGCGAAATATTGAAATAGCTTTAATGCAATAAATGCAATAATGTTATATATCTATAAATGTATTTGTTATTTAATATATTTTAATACCTTTATACATACATGTCTATTAACTTAGGAAAATCTCTTATTTTGATATAGATCTTGTTTTCTTAAAGATCTTATTTTCGTATAGATATTTGTTTCGTATAAATCTTATTTTCGTACACATTCAATTTTTGCACATATGTTATTTTCGTATAGATATTATTTTAGCAAAGGCTTGTTTTCGTACAGATCTTATTTTTGTACAGATTTTTGTTTCGTTTAAATCTTATTTTCGTACACATATCATTTTCGCACATATATTTCTTTCGTATAGATATAATTTTCATAAAAATATTATTTTCGAACAAATATTATTTTTGTTCATATCTTATTTTGTACAGATATTATTTTCGAATAGATATTATTTTCGTTTAGATATTATTTTCATATGAATCTTATTTTCGTACATATCTTACTTTCGTACGGATCTTCTCATTTCATACAGATTGGATTTTCATACAGATCATATTTTCATAAAGAATTTTCATACAGAGTTTATTTTCATACGGATCTTATTTTCTTTCGTACAGATCTTACAAATGTTATTTTGGCTTATTTTTATTTTATTATTTTATTTGTAGTCAGTGTCGCTGATTATTTTTGCACTAGTTTCATTTCTAGACTTTTCTTGCACAAACATTTATTGTTTTATAGGAGAACACTTTACTTTGAAGGATGTTACAATCTAATTTGTCAAACCATAAAAGACAAAATGAATACCATTGTTAAGTTCATATTTTCGATATCCCTACATACCGGGTACTTTTTTAACATAATTGATTACATCACATAGTAATTACAGCAGAGGCCAGCTTTCTTTTCTCTATCGCATCACTATATAGAGCATATAGAGCACTTATACGTTCAAAAATCGACAAAACGAAGTACTTCTAAAATTTTAATTCAACCACTTAAGTCTACAGTATGATAGGTCAACGCATAAGATTTTAATTACTAAATGTGTTTTATTAAGACGACGCATTCCATATTGATGGAATTCCATAAAATCCTGTTGTTTTGCCGTTTATTTAAAAGAATGTTTTCACACTATACAGTACTGTAAAATAATATTGATTAACATATCTAGTGAAAATTTCACCTGGAGATATAATTCACCATTGCTTTGAGCACATGTACATGAAATATCAAGCACTGTCATGTTTAAATTTAAACATTGTCAAGTCTTTCGTGTCTTTCTTCCAGATATCTTCAAACATTTCATTCTGTGCAACAGTAAACCAATTCTTCCAGTCACCAACTTGACCTGAAAGAAAATAGTACCACCTGTAAGAACGGTACCACAATTAGTTCAACTTGTGAACCACCTTAATTTCTGGCCTTGTCACTGTGCGGTGCTCCACTGGGTGCCATACAAGTATGTATATCGTAAAGCGCTGCTTTCCAGAAACTTTCCATTCACTCCCATATTGTTAATGTAAATTGGTAACAGTACGCCCATTTCTTGTAATATTTCGAAATTAAAAGACTTCAAAAAATCCCCTAAATTTTTATATCCAGAGCAATTTATAAGTTACACAAAGAAACAAAGCTAGTTTCTTGAAAGTGGTTTTATTGTTAGTTACCCCCCCCCCCCAAATAAAACAATAAAACGTTGGTATAAACTACTACGATTCTTTGCTTAAATAGATTGCGATGCAAATATCAATAATAATAATGAAAATACCTTTCCTATAGAATTTAAAATCTTTCCTGAAAAAAGCGTCCGCCATTTTGTCTTTTCCTTTATCATTTTGCATTTTCTCAAAACCGCACATATCAATGATGTCACATTTCAGCTTGTCGTCTAACTGTAGATCAAGAAACTTCAACAGTTTGTCTAGTTCTTCTTTTCCATTCTGATAATCATAAGAGAATCAAGAAGCATTCATTTTAACACGAATCGCGAATGAAAATAAAAAAAAAAACAAGATAAATTCGAGTGAACTTAATACATGTATTAACTGAAGACATGTGGTCGTCGAAAACTCCAGTTTGTTCTTTTCGATTTACAAATTTACTACGCCTTTGTCATGAAATGTGAAAAGAATAAGGAACATTTGTCACATCGGCATAATAATGGTTACATGATGATTTATTAGCTCTTCTGCCTATTACATCAGGCTCTAGCAGACACACGAGAATGACATGATTAACAACTGTTTGTTTGTTTGTTTCATTTGACGCCTTTTCCCAACAGTTTTTCAGTCATATAGGCGGGTAGTTTCCTAACCATCGTTCCTGGAGAGTTACACCAGTAGTAGACTACCTACCTCCGTGCTAAACTACCAAAGCATCTCCCGGGGATCGAACCCACACCAGAGAAATAACTGGATTGAAGTCATCGACTCTAACCCCTCGACCACGGAGGCGGTGATTAACAACTAAAATCTCGCCCTTACACCGCCCGAAATGCAATTTAAGAGGTCTAATTTATCTCTTTACGCCGATTTATTTAAGCTTATTAACTGAAAATGTAAGGATCGGCGGTAAAAGCGATATTTTTCTTATTCGTGATCATGATTTGTCAGCGTCTACAGATACTGTGCAAAAACTGTAGTACTTATTAGAAAGTACTTTGGCCAGTTTGGGGTAAATACTCTGTAATGTATGGTTGCATTTTTTGCCAATGGTTATTCAGATAAATATTTTAACAGTAAGAAAGCTAGCTTGTTAGTTAGATAACTAACTAACTAACTAACTAACTAACTAACTAACTAACTAACTAACTAACTAACGGGTTAATTAAGTGTTTAACTATCCACAGCAATATGACACCAAAGAAATGCACATTTAATGTCTATCGACGAAACGAAGTTACATGCCTCCAGATGAGCCAAAATATTGCAAGAACATAATCTTTAGAAAAAAATAAAAAGATTTCTAGAAAAGTTAAAATATTCACAATTGAAGAATTGGTTTTCATTTTGCATGCAGTTAGTAACTCAATGTGCAGTACATATCATCATATTTCTACCGGTAAGGTCTATTTTTTTGCATATTCTGAACTTGTTTTGATAAATTTTGTAGATTTTATGTTCCGTTAGCATTGTGTGACAATATTATGCATATATATATATATAAAAAAAAAAAAAAATCTGAAGAAGACTAAACGTCGAAAGCTTAAGAAAAGCGTTTGTTTTTATTGAACTGATTAAATATTATACTTTTTAATACATTTTTGAACAAGAATCTGGAGGCATTATGCTTTAAAAATGTACTTACCATTTTCAAATCTTCATAAAACATGACATGTAGTGGATATTCTTGTTTTTCAACCTCACGCTGCCATTCCAACAAATAGGCGCTGTACTTCCCGTATTCATCTGTAACATGCAAATTCATTTCAAATTCCTCTTAACATGTTTAAAATTAGTCAAAAGAGGTAAACATCACTAGCACTTAATGGTAAGCAGTGACGTAACATCTACCATGGTGACGGATCTATGCACTCTTTCAAGAATGTCAACTCGATAGATAAATCTTTTAAACCTTAATAGTATCTATTTTGTCATTTCCCTTAGTACAATATTTAGCCCAGCAATGATGGTTTGGTCTGAAGTAAAAACAAAACCTAATACTAGTACCTACTGGCATGAGCGGACGGACGAACGGATGGATGGATTTCAATATACAATGTTAGCATATATGACATTAGAAAAAAAGATGTGCAGATACATAAAACTAGTAAAAACATGATTTTGAGTACCATGTAAAAAGCCATGTTATGCATTTATTGTTACACTTACTTTAGTGAGATTTTAGTTCGTTTTTAGACCTTTGAACCGAAATTAATCTTATGTTCGGAACATATATGCAAACAATTTAATGTACATCACAATTTTAGCACACTTTGAACAGATATTGTGGCTTCACAAAGTGTTAATATATGACAGCCCTAAAGAGAAATGTAATAAATTCAAGTAAAGGGTTTATCCAAAGTACAATGTACTAAGTGAATATCATCAGATCTTGTAGCTGATAACATTGCTTGTTTGTACCTTGACTTGATTTAATTAGGTCTGTTCAGAAGAGATAATGAACGATGGAACATCTTTCAACCCCCTCAGAAGAAATAATGAACAATGGAACATCTATCATCCCCCACTGACTAAAACTGATGAGTATGCATAATGCATTTAAATCAATGATCCTTAGAGACTCGAAAACATATGTAAAAAACTGCAAAAATAGTTAGTATATGCACATGTATAAAGCTTCCTTAAAGATGAAACGAAGCATGTTAAATGAAGAAATAAGTTAGAGTTATTAAAAAAAAATACAGCAGTCTTGTTGCTGGGTCGTGTGGTGTGCGTCTTTCCTTATTGATCTTGTTTTTCATATTTTTTGAGAATATAGAAATAAGGTACTGGTAAATTAAAAGAGTTGTGACACGTGTTCCTTTTTTTAAATTGATAAGCTTAAAACAACTCTGCTGAGGTCAAAGCGCATACAATTTGAAGATTTTGCATATACCAACTGAGGCACTTAAAACCGAAATATATGCCAAGGATAATGAGAAAATAATAAGATAATGTACTTAAAATTAAATAGAAAATCGATTTTATATGCTTCTGTAAAATAGGGAAAAAATCTATAGAGAACACTTAAAGCGACCAGATTTAAAAACTCTGAAGGTTCTGTTTGATCGAGACTGTTCATGGAATGTGCAAGGTACAGTCCACAACCCCTAGCACAGACTGGATCAGAATTCCACATTTAAACACGAAAACGGCTGTAAGCCCGAATTTTCTACCTTCAACTTTGTGTCATATTGCAAAAGAGTCTGATCATGCCAATAAACCTCTCCCTAAAATTTTACAATATGCAATATTTGACGTGACTTACATTTTCCTTCAGCAAAACCTGGTATCCAGTTTTCCCATTTACCTTCGTATTCATACATTTTTATACCCTTCATATGATTATAATATGACACGGCCGTGTCTTTTGGATTACGTAGACATAATACTGTTTTAATTTGCTGGGCCTTCATATCATCCAGAGGAAGGTACCTTGAGTAAAAAGACAACAGAAGGAAAGTAAACACATTATGCTCTCTACGAAAGACCGGTGGGAACATTTCAACTTTTGAAAATCAGTATGTTGTAAACGTAAATTCACGAAGATGAAATTGGAATTCATGAAGTTGAAATGTCCTTACCTGTCTTTTGTAGTTCCCGACCCTAAGTGTTGTCAGTAACAAATTTGTAAATAATGTTTACCAATTTTCTCAGTTACAAAAAATTAATAAGTAAATTGTAACATACTTAGCACAGTTAACTTGACAATGTGACGTTTGTTTGTGCTTGTCAGACAAAAAGTAAACTGGCAAGCCATTCACTTGAAGCAGGTGAATCCAAGCTCTGTCTTGTGTTACACGACGATGAAAAGTAGCTATAATTTACATTAAGTTCAATAAATCAGCTGTAATTGCTAGTGTTAAAATCTGTTTAAAGCACCGATAATTTGACCTTGTGCCCGCAAACTCAGCCCAATTTAAGTCGACTGCAGAAGATAAACTTCAACTGAATATGAAAGACACGAGTCCTTATTATCACCTCAAAAGCTATAATTATGGTTGTATTAGGTGCCCTACTGAGAAGCGTTACAATGGTCATGTCTGGTTGGATTTACTAAGACGCTGCTTTCCGCCAATTTCACCCTACCTTTTAAATCTTTCTTGTCATTTCTTAAACTCAGAAATCCATATATTTTTTCTATTCTTTAAAACTGTCAAGCTTGTGTTGAAATGTTTAAACAGAGGGGTAAGAACATGTAAAATGTTCAACAGCAGAAGATAGTGTAGTTCATCTAGACGGCAAATTAATATTGTTTTGGATCCTGTATACTGAAATGTTTTAGATATGATATCTTGGGCATAATGGTCCTTTTAACGAGTTGGAGAGTGTTTCATAAGCTTATATATATTTCTTTTTATAATAACATTTATGATAAAGAATTGAATTTATTACACAGAATATTTTAACAACACTGGCATACCGAGATCGTCTTTAAACACTAGTCCTATATGGCAAAATACATTTATATGACATGTTGTCTCTCTTCTTTTATACCTATACAATATCGACAGGTGATATGACAAAGCACAAACGTGTGTAACATTGTATATTCCAAGCTTTATCTTATAAATCTTTATAATATATGTATTAAATTTGTAGTACTGTACAAACGGCATAGCGGCTTGGGATTAAATAACCGTTAATATTATGCCATATAGCTTGTCAAAATCATAAAAAATAATTATAATATAATACATGTAATTATAATACATTTATCATACCTTGGTGGGTAATGGCAGTTAACTACTCTAGGTGACGGTTGCTTGTCGGCTTCCTCGGCGGATACACATTCCAGCATTGTTAATACTTTGTTTGATTGTACTCTCTCCGCTGATTTGTTCAGAATCATCATCAAAATCTCATACATCCAATTAGTGCCTGAAACATGGTTAGATTTTGACAGGTATGCAAAAGACAATACATCTATATGGCGAGAGAGTAACCTTTTGAAACTATAGGAACTTGGGAATAAGTTAAGAATGATTCGTGAAGAAGAAAATGTCAGTTTTTTCAAGTTATATTTTAACTAGCGCAATAGAACACTATACTAGTAGATAGTGTCCGATTTATTTTACAGAAATTACCTCCAATGCCAAAGTTGCAGCCATTTTGGGGCTTAATATTCTATAATGATTAATTGAAAAAGAAACAGTTGTTAACTATGTTTTCATACTGTATTTACCTATAGTGTGTAGTGTTTAAAACAACATAACTGTTTTGTGTGTACTGAAAAGATGTTGTTTCTATGCCCCCACAAAGTGGGGAAGCATATAGCGTTGCACTTGTCCGTCCGTCCGTACGTCTGTCCGTCCGTACGTCCCGAAATCTTGTGAACGCAACTCCTCTTTAACTGGATGGCAGATTTTGCTTAAACTTCCAGGGATGAACAACCTTAATGTGAAGATGGTAGTAAGGAAAGAAATTTTCGCTGCGACCAAATTTAACAGAATTATTGCCTTTTGTTGATTTTTTTCACTATAAATTATGTAGAAATTTTGTGAACGCAACTCCTCTTAAACCGGATTGCAGATTTTGCTTAAACTTTCAGGGATGAACAACCTTAATGTGTAGATGGTAGTAAAGAAAGGAATTTTTGCTGCGACCAAATTTAACAGAATTATGGCTTTGTTGATTTTCTCACTATATACCATATAGAAATTGTGTGAACGCAACTCCTCTTAAACCGGATTGCAGATTTTGCTTAAACTTTCAGGGATGAACAACCTTAATGTGTAGATGGAAGTAAAGGAAGGAATTGTTGCTGCGACCAAAATAACAGAAGTATGGCCTTTTGTTGATTTTTTCACTATATACCATATACGTATATATTGGACACCGTTCTAGTTTTCCAGTTAAAAAGAAACTGTATAGATATTATCAGCATTTTTAAATATCAAATTTGAGTGTAAAATTTCTTTAATCACTGAGAAATTTATCGACATTTCTGTTCAAATAATTGTTTATAAGAATATCCAAATGATATATTTCTATTTTTTGTCGTTATTTGAAAATGTACTCATTGTTGACCAATTTAAATAGCCGAAATCATATGCACGTATATCAGTTTCCTTCTAACACTAGATTAAAACATTCAAAAATGTGTTATATTTATGTCATAAAAAGTTAATTTCATCGCTTCCGTGGTCGAGTGGTTAGAGTCGATGACTTTCAATCCAGTTACCTCTCTGGCGCGGGGTTGGATCCCCGGGATATGCTTTGGTAGTTTAGCGCGGAAGAAGGTAGTCAAGTACTGGTGTAACTTACCAGGCACGACGTTCAGGAAACTACCCGCCTATATGACTAAAATACTGTTGGGAAAAGGCGTAAAATGAAACAAACAAGCAAACATTAAAATTCCATTAAAATTAAGTGCAATCATATATAATTTGTATTGAAATATGAACAAGACGTAATCTACTTAAAATAACTTCCCTTTATTTACATTAATTGCTAAATTCGGTTAAATCTTTATAAATAATTATGCTTTTTTGTAATTTATGACATTTATAAAACTTCATTTGAGTATCATGTTTATAAGATTTGTGAGGTATATGGACTTTAACATTACCACCTTAAACAGTCCAGTGTTCTTGGTCGGAAGGAAAAATCCCCCGGGAGCGACGAGAGTAAAAAATTGCAGACTGATCGAGTCTGTTCTTTCGAATTTCGCCTCTTAACACCCTCTTAAGTAGAATTTTGTCTCAAATTAAATATTTTTAAATTCATTATATATATACTTCATTCTTTGTGTATAAACTACTTTATTTAGCACTATTAAGCATTTAAACACCGAACACACATTTTAATTTTGACAATTACCTGTTTTAGCAAATGTGCACAACATCAAATCATCTTTTCGAAACTTGAATGTCGGGACACTTTCGAATACTTTTTGTGTCTCTGCGGGTGTTTTCATAAATAGCGGTTGAATAAATCCTCCAACATCCACCATTTTAGTTGTGGCACCTCCAGCATCTGGTACTAGTACTTCAGTCATGATTGAAATTTCTAAAAGTATATCAAAATTACTTATAAAACAATGAAGTATTTGTATATTTCTGATATACCTCAGTTACCTTTGACACATATTGTAAAAGTACTAAGTTGAAAAATTTATTTTATACTTAAAAATGAAATATTTAGAAATAATGATAAAATAAAATGCGTATTTTCATTTTTTGTATTTGCACTGTAAAATTTATTTTTCACTTTTGTATAGCTGGACTAAATTCTTCTAAATCCAGCCAAAACACAAAATTAAGGAGAGGTCTTTCAAATTGTAATGTCAATAAAAGGGGAACATGTATATAAAACATAGAATCAAATCAAGAGTTTTCTATAATACATGATTTATTTTCATCTTGAGGTATGAACATTATGATATTTCACTTGTGGCTACTGCCACTCAAAAAATATTTTCATACAACTTTAAAAAAAATAAAGAAAAAAAAATGAATGTTCTCTGTAAATCATTTATTTAAGATTTGTGATATTCAACTAAATGCAAATATTGCACAGATCTGCATAAATCAAATCTTCGTCAGTTTTAAAAATTAGTTTAAAATTGATAATTAATAAATCAAAATACATGTATTACCTAAATAGTCCTCTGTAAAAGTCCAGTTTAACAAATCAAACTATAACTTGAAATCTGTTAAAATGGGACACACTGTTTATGTCCTCCTTTTTAACGTAAATGTCATAAAGTAGGACAGTAGAGCAAACGTTTGTTTGCATACGATAAAATTGCACAGGGGCATATTTAATCAGTACAAATATTTTTAATGACGGGGAGATGAGCTACATGTAACTGATATGAAGATATGCTATATCGGTTTTGTTTGTTTGTTTGTTTGTTTCATTTTACGCCTTTTTCAACAGTATTTCAGTCATATAGGCGGGTAGTTTCCTAACCATCGTTCCTGGAGAGTTACACCAGTACTAGACAACCTTCCTCCGCGTTAAACTACCAAAGCATCTCCCGGGGATCGAACCCACGCCAGAGAGGTACCTGGATTAGAAGTCATCGACTCTAACCCCTCGACCACGGAGGCGGTGCTATATCGGTGATTATAAATTTGTAATATATATGACAGTTTTAGAGTAAAGACGTCCTTTTGTGTATAACACAATGTCCGTCCGCTTAGCTCAAAACAATCGGAGCATCCTCGGCTATTATTAATAATAACATCTGGATTAATACGGATTAAAGATAGTTCTATCACGTGGTTGCAGATGTAAACAGAAGCAAAGAGTGTAATCTTCGATAATGTAAAACGAATGTATATATTTGATATCCAAAGCAAAATAAAGTCTGTTTCGGTACAATTATGATTGAAAATATGTTTGACAATAGTTTTAATTCAAATATAACCACTGATGTAAAGTTTAAAACAAATGAGACTTAATGTCATTAGATGACATTTTGTACTTTCGGTTTCTACTGCCATAATACTAAGTATATAATTAATGTTCGTGGTAAAGGATACTGCGACATTGCGAGATCTTGTGTTACAATATCATGCCTCGCTTCGTGTCTCGTCGGATTGTCGCGTCTCATTCGATTCTGCGAGGCCCGATATCTTAATAATGGAATTACACGAATTCATTTAGGAACTCATGGACGTTGTAAGTGCTTTTTCAATGGCGGATCTGAAAGCAGCAATTCTCGGAAAATGGCGATATATTTTATATATACATTCTGATGAACACAAAATACGTGTGGGATGGTCTTCTCATTTTCAACCTTAGATCAAAAAGGGGCTTCCATGGCCGATTAATTTAAAAAACCAATTGTCCTTAACCGCTGTAGGTTCGACACTCACTCGGGGCGTCGAACTATACATGCGAGGAAGCTCGTCCAGGGTCCAAATATGTATGCGGCATACCTATCCGCGTGCGCAAGAAAAAATATTATCGCGTGCGCTCGATATAATTATCCCTTTAGAACGTTATAGCTATCGCCTACCTTGTAGTATCGCGTGGCAACGTAATAGCTATCGCGTGCGCACTTTATAAATAAGTAAGAAAATCATATTTCCCCTTTATGCCACCGTAGATACTGCCTTGTTGTTTCTTAGAATATAACTCATTTATAAAACTTAAAGTATCGGAAAGAAACGTGTCACAATTAATAATGATAAGAATGGACTTGGTGCATATATGTTTGGGTTCTTGATACTGCACTGGTAGAAACTTTCACTGTGACATGCAGAACAGGGATATTCTTTAAGTTAATTCATGACTCCAATGCAGAGGTAGGAATTTTTTGATTGACCGGAAGTGACATAAAGACGGTATTACAGAAAATACAGAAAACCCAGAACAATTTTTATATCTGCCTTTTCGGAAAATAACAATGTTCTAAACAGAAACAGTTTTCGTTTTAAGTAGCATTTTATGGACGAATGTGAGACAAATGTGCTTCGAGTGTCCTTTCTGTTGTGTGTCGAACACATCCGTCTCATTTCCAATTTGTCGCAAATATGAATGTTTACGAGCACATCGGTAACACGTCGTGATACAAATGTGTTCCGAGACAAATGTGCTCATACAAAGCCTGTTATGTGCGGTGTTATTGTACTTATTAATATTGGGAAAAGACAACATGCTTCCCGAGGACGGTAGCTAGATCCTGTTTCCTGCAAATAACATCTCGAAAAGCAAATGCTTTCATGGAAATATATATGAGAGTTAAAAATAATGTCCTTGCAGCCGTATGGGCTACTTCATTTCTTTTCACTTGATTAACATACACTTTAAAATTTATATCGGACCTTTTACTATTCGAAACAGTCGTTTTCCCATAAAATTGCACATTTCAGCGTTATTTTTGTTCAATTCTCTCATTAATTCGACATTCCTGCGTTACGGAATATATACATACAGCAATTATTTATTATGTAATATTGTATCTTATGTGCATGTGTTTCTCGACTTTTGTATAGAGAATAATAAAACAATAACAGGTCAGTATATACATCTGGAGATCTGTTGAAGGGTTTCGACCGCTTTTAACAAACGATCCGTTAAGTAAGCGTGACGAATAACGAAATGCTCAACCTTATTAAATATAGAAAAAACATTTGCAGTGTCCACGAGTTATCTGTGACATAACGGTTGTTGCAGGTCACTTTGTAAAGGTCACTTTAGTAAGAAAGGATTCAAGAAAAAAAATGTATATCACAAGTTTCATAAACTGATGTATTTTCGGATTGTATTGTGTGATGGAGAGTAAAAAGGATAGAAAGCGAAAAAAAAAAAAAAAAAAAAAAAAAAAACGAAAACAGTGGTAAAGGAGCAACACCTAAAACTGAAAGGGGAACAAAGGATTTAAAAACAGCGGGAAACGTCAAAAAACTAAAAGAGTTGGATCATAACCTATCGGACAGTAACGGTTAGTACCTTTCATTACTGACTCTCTGATCAAATATTAAACGGACAGTACAACCATATATCTACATCCACTAAGAATATAAGAATGGCACATTGCAGATGAATAACGGAAATATCGGGACAGGGTTCACGAGCCCACGCAATATGTTCTAATGTCTAATATGGGCCAATTTCAAACGCCAAGACATAATATGAATAAGTTCACTCCCTGTAATGTGCAGTCTGTAATCCATTCTTTTGCAGCAACATCATCTTCAACACAGGGAAGCGGTCATCAGGTAAATAATGTGGATTATTTTGATTTAAAAATAGCTTAATTATAAGATTGAATGAAGTTGAACTTTTTAACGTTTTGTCATTAGTCGATCTTTTTTATGGTTTACGTCAGCAATAAACATCTTTTTATTGGTTGCTTCTGACAGTGGCGGTAAATATTCTGTCCTTTTATTTCCTAGACATTTTGGTCATTCTGTTTTTCGTTGACTTAGAGATGTTTTGAAAAAAAATTTTTTTTTGATATTTTCATACAGTTTTTGTTCAACTTTATTGCAGAATTTTATTTAATTTATGGAATGGTGTGTTTATCAGTCAGTTAAAAATACTAGTTAACTGAGAGGGTTTTTGGAAACATTTTACGTTTTGTTAATATAAAACAAAACCTGCACATATTTTCTGCACGTGTGAGGTTTGTAAAGGACAGAAGACAGTGTTAGAGGTTATCATGTCTTCCAAGGAGAAAGAACATGTTCAAAGGAAGTCCTTGCCAAAGAGAGGGTTGACTATAAATTGCTCAGCGATTGAGTCGGAGACGAGGTAGAAGAATCCTTCTGGACACAAGGGCACATAACCGATATTAAATTGTTGTCTGCAGACGTACATTCAGCGGAAGTTATAACCAAACCTGAAGACGAAGGGAATTCGTATGAACAGGATGCGGAGGGTGCAATAGACCTTGATATTCTTGAGATGAGGAAGGAGTTACAAACATACATCAAGAGGAAAGACAATTGAAAGAACAGAGGTTCGAGGCAGATACTTTAAGAAGACAAATTGCCCTGAAAAAAGAAGATGTTCAGAAATTAAGAGGTGAGGCAATTCAGTCATCGAAATCGCGGGGGAAAATATTTTTGGTAAAAAATCATCTGTTCAAGATGCTACCAATTTTGATCAAATAACTATTAACGATTAACGAAAGAACAAAAAATTATGACGTAAAGCTAAATCACAGTTGAATAAAATTGGTTTATATATTTTTAATTCTACTTCCGAGTTAGATTCTGACTCTGATAGCAATGTTAGCTCTTTAAATGAATCAACACAAGTACTTAAAAGTAGTAAGAAAAAGATAAATGATTCGATTTCTTTAGAAGATTCTGAAAAGGAATATGATACGGCTTATTCTTGTAAAAATAAAACAAAGCCCGGTATTTTGGCTATAGCTGGGGATAGGGTTGTAAATAGATTTGAATATATAACTGGTTCAGTCACATTTGATACATTAGAATTGCGGGGGAATTGGAAGTTATTGCCAATCCCTCTATTCATACTTTAGAGCGTAAAGCTAGAATTGAGCTGTTAAAGAAATTGATGTATCTTTGTTCATCGTATGAATTTTCTGTTGTTAAGAGTTTTTATACCGCTGTACTAAGGGAGATATAACTTGGTCATCTCCAGTGGGGAGACTCTTATCAATATGTTTAGTCAGGAATTTTGACAAGTCATGAAATCAAAAAGGTGTAAATGATAAGCACAGAGCTGAAAAAAGCAGATCAGATAATGTTGATAAGATTTGGTTTTATAGTCAATACCAAAGAAACAAATGTAATAAAAAATCTCCTCATATGACTGTTATGAAAGGGGTAGCTAGATTGTCTCAGCATGTTTGCGCTTCGTGTTGGCTGAAAGACAAAGTTAAATTAGAGCATCCCGAGTGCTCAACATCTTGTCCGTATTCCTCAAATTGACTGAAAGATAAGTATGATGATTTAAAGAAAAATGTAAAATGTCATGAAATAACTGTTGATTTATTTCTTCCAAAATATTGTTTGAGAATATTGTAGAAACTTTGGGAATTGATGTTATTAGAAATCATTCAGTTAAATTTAACATTTGTAAAGTCACAAAGAAAAGTCAAAGATCTATTTTAGACAAATTGTTATTCATGAAAAAGTCCGTCAATTTGGTTTGCATAATTATGAGGGTTGTAGAATACAGGTTAACACTGATATCAATACTGACTTTTGAGGCGTATGTTGGGTTCAAACTATAATGATTTAATAGTTTGTGTTCTTTTAAAATATGGGTTTCCCATTGGTATTGGAAA